CACACCCCACCCACACCCCCCTCTCTGCTTTGGGTGGAATTGGTGGGGAATAAGTGAAGGGAACCATGGAACGTGTTTTATTCGCTGGGGTCTGCATGATCATCCCTGGGGATAATCACCTGTCTGTGCAATCTGCTCGATATTCGGGAATCCTCAGGGATGGGGAGAGCCCTGGGACATCAAAGGTGCACAGTGAAGAGGGAGACAGGAGAGAAGGGGTTGATCACGTCTGCTGCAGGATCAGGGGGAAATGTTGTACGGGAAAGGATTAAATGGATGAAATATGTCAAGGGAAGGATGGGTCAGGGGGTGAAATATTCCGTGAGGTTTGGTACAGGTCACAGAGCGCTCCACGACCACACGGATTTGCTGCTCTGCTTCTCTGGGCACCTGGCTGTGTGCTCTCAGCACTTATCTTACCCCCTGAATGCTGCTAAACTCGGGGATTTGGTCAAAATCTTCCTCATGCCAGTCAGAATGAACATCTTCACATTATCTTTAATAGAACGAGCGAGGAGCTTTTGGAATGCTGAGGCGGTTCTGGCGCTGTGTTTGGGAGAACCCCGAGGAAAGGACTCCGGAAAGATTTTGGCCTTAGTGCCAGAATTCCCTGAATGCAGCATCCACGTGTTTTTCCGGGTTGTTGAAAGGCAAACCGAGTTTCTTTTCATTCAAGGGGCAGAGATGAAGCGTGAGCTCCCTCTCTGTGAAACCAGAGCTGTGAGGGCAGGACTAGGGTGGTAAATTTGGGATTACACGAGCTGTTGTGTAATGCACAAAGGAGATTAGCTGGCTGGGATTGGGAAGAGGGGAAAACACCTCAGGATCAACGTGTGACACAGCTCCTTGTTTCCAGGTACAACTTGGCATGGTTTATTTTTCCAATCATGATTGAAATACAACATCCCTAAAGAGCCAAGAACAATCAGGGTTTGTCTCAGGAGCATTAAAATAGTATTTTAAGTGTCAGAATCCTATGATGAATGAATTAGTCAGGCTCTCACTGAGTTACTCAACACTATTTTCAGTCAGGGGGTTGCTGGGCCTGTCTGGCGTCAGTTTGGATCATTATGAACCAAAAACTCCTTTTTTTTTCCCTCCTCTCTGCTGAGAATTTAAAAAGTGGAACAGGTACAGCTCGAGGAACAAAAATAGCTTTACCTGCCTGTAGTGGAATGTAGTAGGTGAGGAGCAGCAGCACAGCACTTCCAGCAGATCCTGAGTCCTGGGAATCCTTTCCAGGCCAGGCAGCTGCTGCAGGCACCTTCCTCCCCTCTCCCAAGAGACCTCTGTAGGGAGCTCTGGGTGGGGATGGGACACAGTCCCCTGTGCTGCCGGGGGCACTCTGCACAAGGAGCTTGGGAGGTGGAGGAGCAGCTCTCCAGGCGTTCCCTGGCTCTAATATCTGTGATTTTAATTCCTTTGAATCCCTTTCTCCCCCTTGTGCAGTGCATTCAAGGTGAGAAAGAAAGGCTTAAGGAGCACTGAGCAGCTCCGTGGTGGTGCAGCTGCTGTTTGTGTGTCTGGGACTGTTACTGCTCACATCCAAGATACCCACAACAGGGAACTGAGGGTGGCTGTCCTGGAGGGAATCTTTTAATTCATGTCCTCAGGTGAAGACCCAGCCCCAGTGGCTCAGAACAGCCCTTTGGCATAACTGGGAAAAAGTAAAGTTCTCCTCCCAGGAAAAGAGTGATTTCAGCTGGAGTGAGAGCGTGGTGGGCAGTGGGGAGGGGAGCAGGCTTGCAGTTCTTAAATCTGAATTAATCTTGTATGGAGCATTGTGATAAAGGAATAATAGTTGGTTTGTTTACCAAAGACAATGTCCAAGTCAAGACTTGCTGCCTCACAGAGGAATTTTGGGGTCGTTTCTCCATCTGGAAGAAAGAGTGCAGTGATTTCCTGAGCCTGGCTTCCGAATTGGTGATGATTAGAAAGGCAAATGTTTAGTTCTGTGTGCTGCTGGGAGCCCTGGCAGTGGGTGTGTTCAGCCTTTCCCGGTGTTCTGCTGTGACCCAGGACCTGGGGAAAACCAATCCCAGGCAGGTGCATCACCTTACAGGTGCTGTGTCCCTCGGGGCCCTTCACAAGCCCCAAAGATCTGGGAGTGCAGACTTGTGAACCCTGGGAACTGTCCTGATCAAAGCTTTGGGGCTGGTTCCTGAGGGAGCTGTGCAGGGGAACACTTGCTGAGGGTTATGTCTAAAGGTTTGCTTTTGATTTCATGGATAAATGATCAGAATTCTGGCCTTTGTCTCCCTGTTGCCATCCTTCACATGCTGCCTGTGAGGGGATCCCTGATAATGCCTGACAGGCAGAGCTTCCAGAATTCCAGAGTGGAAACACTGCTGGATCTCTGGCTGGAAAAGGGAACGTGTTCCCCAGAGAGCCAAGGGCACACTTCTGGTTTCCTGCCAAATCCACAAGTTTTGGAAACCCTTCATTAAAATAGGAACCCGACTGGTGCAGCACCCCCAGCCCTCCCTCTGAAATGGGAAGACTCCTGGTTTATGTTTCCACAACGTATTTTTCAGGGAAATGATAGTGCCTAACGGATAAACTTCGTTTGACCGAGCTCTAATTACAGCAAGTCAGGAAACTGCTGCCAGTGATAGCTGGACTTTGCTGCAGGGGTGTTTAATGGTACTCAAAAGATATTTCTGAGGGGGTTTTTGGAGGCATTTTCTTCTGGGAGGGAAATGAGCCCCATATGGGCTCTGGGTTTGGAAAATGCAGAATTGTGCTCGGAGGGTTTTTGTGGATGTGTTTTACCTGGGAAGGGTTTGGGAAGCTGCTGTCTGTTCCTGGGGCCAGCAAAATGATGCTGATTTCCCTGTGCTGTGTGTGTCTCCACAGTGGTGCTTTAGGAGCCACGTGAATGCCATCCCTCAGCTGCCTCCTGCCAGCACTGCTGCCCCATTGCTGGGTGCCCTGGGCACAGTCACTGCAGCATGCTTATAATATCTAAAATACCTAAATAATCTTAATTTACCTGTTTGCTGAATTCTCCACAAATTCAGAAGTGGTTTTTGTTAAGTTGCCCTGATGAAGTTTAGCACAGGATCCCTGAAAAACCTTTCACCCAACACTTGTGGTGTTAAGTGTGATTTTATAAGCCAGGGCTGGAGTGGGCTGGGAGAGGAGCTGCAATTCCTTCCACAGACCATGTTTGCCCATCCTGGGCACTCCTCAAGGTGTTTCTGTCCTCTTTACCTGTCCCTGCCCTGTCAAACCCTGGAGTGAAGCATGGAAGCATCTGTCGTGGCACATCCTTTAAGAAAAGAGTTCCAGAGAAGGCACAGTTCAGGTATTCAGACACAAATTTGAATTTTGAATTTGTCTGTTTCAGAAATAAACACCAAACCACACAGACAGAATGTGTTTGCCTGCATTAAACTGATTGGTTTGGGTTTTATTTCCTAATATTGATCACTAACCATTGATGCTGATTCCTGTTCTGAAGGAGAGTGTGGAGCCAGAAAGTGTGTCCTCTGCAGGAGGGGAGCTCCAGCCCTAGAGAAAGAAGCAGGGAAGGAGTTGTGCTCAGCTCAGATCCTGGTTTGCTGAGCTGAAAGGTAACTGAGGAAGAGGGTGAATCTCCACTGGGTTTGTTGGGATGGTGAATGGCTCCTGGTGCTTCCCAGGTGAACTTTGCCTGACAAAAGCAGAGCTGGAGCTGGGCAGAAATCATTGAAGTGCTGATCTGTTGTTGCTTTCAGCCCTCCTGCAGTGAGGGTTATTCAAAGCCAGAGGTGTTTCCGTTCCTCATTTGAAGAGCAGCAAGGCCACAAAGGGAGGATTAAGATAAAAGTCAAACCTGACTGTCAGAGGACATTGGGGGACTCAGTTATTCTGGGAATGTCCTCATGGCCAGAAGGTAAAGGAAAGAACAGAGAGGAAAGCTTCATGTCTGGCATCCCCAAAACTGGGGTGTTCAGCACCTTTTGACTCTTGGTGAGCAACTGGTGGCAGTGCCAGGCTACAAAAAGGAAGAGCAGCTTTGCAAGCTGTCATTTCAGGGAGGTATTTCTGTCTGTGTGCTGAAAAAGACCTGAAAAGCTTTAGGAGGCGTCTTTTGAGCCCTGGAAAGTCGTCTTTTGAGCCCTGGAAAGTCGGTGATGTTTTTAAAGCCCGGAGGAGAGCCAGCAGTTGGTGTGGGTGAAAGAGTGGGACAAAGAGAGTGGGGAGTAGCAGTCATCCCAAAATCCTGCAGCAAGTGGGAAATGGCTGAAAAGCACCTGGCAGGGTACAGGAGTGCAGGAAAGCTGGTGCTGCTTTGCCACTCCTTGGCAAACTGAGTTTGCTCTTCCTAGGATAAAATAACCAGGGCTGTTTCTGGCTGCAGAAAAGCAGCTGTGGTCATGAATCCTCTAAGGTTTGATTTTTATCCAAGAATCTTGAGTAGGTGCAATTAAAACAAACCCAAAGCCTGAGGAGGTGCTTGTCCATGATGGATGAAACCATGGTTAAATAATAAATGTATTCAGAGCAGCAGTGACACCCTTGTGAGTGGGCCTGGCTGTACTGAGAGGGGCACTGGGGGGCTCTGGGGTCTCACTCATCACTGAGGTGGCAGGACAGACTGTGCATAAAGCAGGAGTGAGAAAAGGGTTTGAGCAATTGGCATGGCTCAGAATGGGCTGGTGATGAGGCAGGACAGTGGTGAGGCTGGATTCAAGTGAAAATAGCCTGCTGCAGGCATGGGGATAACTGCTGAGCTGTAATCCCTAATTAAGGAAACCCAGTGAGCTCCTGTGTATGTGGGAAGGGAGAGGTGAAAATTTGGGTGTGAAAATTGGTGGTGGTGGCCTTGGCAGCGCTGTGGGAGCCGTTGGACTCCCTGGACTCTGCAGGCTTTTCCAGCCTCAGCAATTCCATGGAATTCATGGTTCCAAATCCCACTGCTGGGGCTGGCTGTGCCCACGGGGAACAGAAGGGGTTAAATAGCAGGGAAAACGTTACCAAGCCCTGTCTGACACCTAGGACCTGCAGACATTTCTGGGACTGCTTCAGAGCAAATTGGATCAACATCTGTTGGGAAGCATTTGAGCAAAGCTGGTTATGCTGTGGGTGAGCAGCATGAGGCAGAGCCCCCGGAGTCCAGCGCTGTGTCCCTGCTGTCACTCTGACCTGGCCCTGCTGCCGAGCTGCTCCTGAGCTCTGGGTCCCTGGGCTGAAGCAGTGGAGGAGGGAGGATGAGGAGTGTCCTTCAGGGCAGGCAGGGCTGCCCTTGGTGCACAGAGCTCTCATGGGTGTGCCCAGGGCTTCAGCTGCAGCCTGGCTCGCTCACGGGCTGTGCTGGGCAGTGAGGGTGGCCTGAGCTCTTCGTTGCTTGTTCAGAGTATGAGCAGTGCTGGAAACCTCAGATATGGCACAGGTCAGACCAAGCTGCTGTTTCAGGAATGATACAGAACCAGAGAGTCATGGTTTGGGTTGGGTGGGACCTTAAAGCCCATCTTGTTCCATTCCCTGCCATGGGCAGGGACACCCCCCACTAGCCCAGCTCCGAGCCACGTCCAGCCTGGCCTTGGGCACTTCCAAGGACTGAGCAGCCAAAGCTTCTTCCCTTCCAGGGCCTCTCCACCCTCACAGGGAACAATTCCTGCCCAATATCCCATCCAGCCCTTCCCTCTGGCACTGGCAGCCATTCCCTGTGTCCTGTCCCTCCATCCCTTGTCCCCAGTCCCTCTCCAGCTCTCCTGGAGCCCCTCCAGGCCCTGCAAGGGGCTCTGAGCTCTCCCTGGAGCTTCTCCTCTTCATTCCCCCTGGAATGTTCCCTCCAGGGGAACATTCCCAGCTCTCCCAGCCTGGCTCCAGGGCAGAGGGGCTCCAGCCCTCTCTTCTGGACTCACTCCAGCAGCTCCACGTCCTGCTGCTGTTGGACCCCAAGACTTTGCACAAGTCCAGGCTGATGGTCCAAAAGCATTTTGCCTATTTTATACTCCAAACAAGAGGCTTGGGCTGAGATGTTGACCCTGGTCTGGTAGAGAGGATTAGAAAAGGGCATGAGTAGAAATACTACGTGCAGTAGAAAGGGAAGAGCTGTTTTCACAATGGCCCAGCCCGGAGTGAAGGATCAGTGGAGTCCCTGGTGTGTGTGCCTGGCACTGGCCAGGAGAGGGGCACGCTGCCATTGCACCTCTGGGCTTTGTGGGGATGCTCTCAGATGTAACTGCACAGGCTGTTGCATCAGGCTCTGGTATTTTTAGGAGAAAGTGATTCCCCAGCCACCTGTGGAGCGGCTGCATCGATAAACAGAACGGAGATGATTCCAAAGGGATCACGTGGGATGCGTTGCATGAGGACGTTTGCCAGGGCTGGGTCCCTGGCTGGTCCCTGAGCGTGCCCAGGAGCCCCAGCAGCCTGGTGGGCTCTGCAGCCAGCACTGCTGGGCTCCTGGGGCACTGGGGAAAATCCCAGCTCCTGGAGCCACAGGGATCCTGCCTTTGCTGTGCCTCGTGGCTCGCTCTTCCCGAGATTCATCCGCTGGCTGTGTGCCCCGTGTGACAGGGACAGCGTCCTGGGGAGATCACCCTGGATTAGCTCTGGTTATTTTCAGCTGCCACTCTGGAGCTGGGTTGATGCTGAGTTATCCCGGGATAGAAGAGACAGCCCTTTCCTGCCTTCCTAGGGCTGCCCACTGACTGATAAAATCTGCTCCAGCTGGAAAAGCCTCCCGAAGCTGCTCTGCCCTTGGACATCCTCGAGCTTCTCAGAACCTTTCCAGCTCTCCTGGGGTCCCCTGTGGGGTGAGGAGGAAGAGCAGGAATGTGCTGTGTGTAGCACTTAGCACGTGTGAGGATGGATTTACATCCTGATTCCACTCTGTTCTTCATTCCTAACACACAATTTCCCTTTTTACACCGCATCATGTCCCACCTTCAGGGAATTCAGGTCTGGCATCCCAGGATGTTATTTTCCCTCTGTGCATCACATCCCATTTCCTGGAATTGGGTGATCCTTAAGATTCCTTCCCACCCAGACCATTCTGGGATTCTGTGCCTGTGGAGGGGGATCATTCCCAGCCATACAGGCTTGGGCAGGAGCTCTGTGGTGGAGGAGAAGGGCTTGGGAAACATTTCCTTGTGTTTGGAATCTCTGTTCTTCATGGGCAAGGGAGCTTCCCTTGGCTGCATTCAGCAAGAGGAGTGAACTTTGAAATCATGTGTTTTCTAAATCTGGATATTTTCTCTTTTTGTCACAAATCCCAGATTTCTGTGTTTCATGGCTCTGCATGTGGAACAGCCTATCCTGTCTCATCATCCACAGCAATAAATTGGTGTCTGCTGCTGGTGGGAGTATTTTGGGAAGGGAGAAAGGATAGAAACCTTCAGTGAATGACTTCCAAAGCAGGAGTGTAACTGAGGTTCTTCTCTTGTGGCAGAAAAGTTTAAAAATGTCCTGAAAAGTGATTTTGAATGTCAGCCCCTGTTTTGGGAGCAGATAATTTTACCTGGCACACAGAGATTACTGAAGTGTTCTCTGAATCTTCGTCGTCGTCGTTACTCAACTCAGTTTTCAAGAGATGTTAATAACATGTAAAGTGAGTGAAATGGGGTCTGTTCCAGACAACCTCTGAATTTTTAAATGAAATTTTTATAAATGAATGTTGTACAGGGAGGAAAACAGGCAAAAAGAAGCAGGGCAGAACTGGTCAAGTGAGGCAGAACAGATAACACGAAGTAAGTTTGCACATTTTGGGGATGGAAATCTGGCTGAAAACTCGAGTCAGACTTTGAGCACTCTTGTAGCCACAGAGCTGGAATGGAGGGAGTGGACTCAGCAATGTCATTTTCTACCTTTTGAATATGGAAAGGTCCCCTTCTGTGAAGGACAATCCATTTAGGACTTAGAGAGGCTGTTCCGGAGCCTTGTTCCTGACAGCGGTGGTGGGATTAACCCCTTGCAGGCAGCGGCCTCCCGGGGCTGCTGCATGGCTGGGATTTTCCCATAGGAAGTGTTGTGTTCCTCGTGACCTCCGTGTCCTCTGGCAGCACAAAGCCCGTTATTCTTCCCATGGGAATGCGAGGGGAGAGCAGGACCTTGGTGTTAGAGCCCATTGTGCAGCACTGCTGTGAAGGAGCCTTGTCTGGAGCGGGGCTCTTGTTTTCCCACCTCTCAAGTCCTCGGGAATGTTCCCTGGTCCATGGCTGCAGAGAGGGAGACTCGGGTTGTGAGATGTGTGCCTCTCTCCCTCCCCTCCTCCCTTTGTGGATGCTGAGCTTTGGAGCTCCCGTGGCGGTGGGACCAGGAGTGATCGCTCCCAGCATCCTGAGCCGCCTCCAGGGCCCAGCAGAGGGCAGGAAAATCCAGGTGCTTTTCTGGGCTGGGAGTGATCCAGCATTGTTTCAGGGAACCCGAGGTGTTCCTTGTCTCTGGGGTGTCTGTGGTGCTGCGTTTGAGGGCTGGCAGCTGTTTGCAGCTGGAGGGGAGGCCGTGCATCAGCCGGGTTTGGTGCTGGCTCTTGTGCTGTGAGTGTGCTGTGAGCAGCCCAGGGGTGCAGGGAACACCCCCAAACCTGTGTGAGCAGGCTGTGGGACGGGGGGCACGTGGATACCAAGGAGGCCTCTTGGGACCCTCCATTCCTGGCTCACCATCCCAGCTGGAGCCCAGGTGAAATGTGTCGGTTCCAGCAGGAATTTGGGGTATCCAGCAGCATCAGTCCTGCTGCTCCGTGTGTTCTGGGGCTGCTCTGAAGGCAGGAGGTTTCTCTGATCCCCATTGATGGATTTAGGGGTTTGATGGCATTGATGGATTTGTGGATCTGAGGCAGTGCTTGCAGCACCAGGAGGGGGAATTACTGCAGGGGACCCCTCCCTTCCTGCTGTCCATCCCACCTGGCCCTCAGGTGTGTGAGCATCACATTGAGCTGCTCCCTGGGCAGCAGCACAGACCAACCTAGTCTGTATATTTACAGATTTATAAATCCCCATTTTTAGTAAATTCTTCCTTTTTTCCCATTCATTCCTCCCCTGTCCTCCCCTAAACACAGCCTAGGCAGGAAAACCCCTCAGATCCCACCTGTGCCCCGGGGCTGCTGCAGGGCTGAGGTTCCATCTGCACAACAGGTGACCAAGGTGACTTGGACCATGTCGGGTCTGTTCCTGCTTTGCCAAGCTTGGGGTTGTAAATGGAAAATGCTGGGTTCAAATTCCCATTGGAGGTTCAGATACAGGCAGTAAATTCTGGGATGTATTGAAGTGCAAGGAAAACACTGTGGAACGGGGATTTATTTTGGATTTTTCCTTATATTTCCCCTCCTGCAGGCTCCACTGGCTCAGCTGTGTGTTTATTACACCTAATGCTGAGGCCTGGCTCCAGAACATTTTCTGGAAAGCTGAGGAGTTGAGTACACCTAAAACCCCAGGTGACTGTATTATAAAGTTTTCTACCTTTGTTGCTTTATCCTCTTAAGCTCAAAGTGGGCTCTGCTGTGTTTGCCTGCCCTCGGTGTCCAGGGAGGTTCCTGGGAAGGCAGTAAAGCCTGTCAGACAGAAATGTGAAGAGTTTGGAACATGTAACTATTGTTGAGCGAGATAAAAGCTTTTGTCTGGGGAAAAGTAGCAAGTTCAAGTTGATTTTTCCTGCAAAATGAAGTTCTATGTTTCTTCCTTCTGCTGGTCAGCCTTGTTTTTGTCAGAGGGCAGGACATTGGAGCCAGGTGGGGTCGGGCTCTGCTCCCAGGAACAGGGACAGGAGGAGAGGGAACGGGCTCAGGGGAGCTCAGGGTGGGCAGCAGCAGGAATTTCCCCATGGAAAGGGGGCTCAGGGTGGAGTCCCCATCCCTGGAGGTGTCCCAGGAATGTGGCACTGGGCTGGGGACAGGGTGGACTCAGTGACTTGGAGGGCTTTTCCAAGCTCAGTGATGCTGGGATTCAGTGAAGCGTGTCCATCTCCTGTACCTGAAGTGAACCAGAAATGTCCCTTGCGGTGCTGCAAGGTGGGAACATCCCGATGCCCTCGTGCTGCCAGGCAAACTTTGTCTTGGATTTGCCTTTTTGCAAAAACGGCAAGAAATTCTCCTTTCACATTTCTCCTACAATCAGCAGGTTTATTTTGGCTGAGATAATTTATGTTTGCAGAAATGACTTGGAGCAGGAACTGTTCCTGCTGTTCACTCTTATGAGCTCTGTCAGAGCATAAAGCAAATAAAGATGGCAGATTTTAATATTCCACCCCCCCCAAGTGATAAAGAGATCCTAGCTTTGGACTGCTCTGTGTTTTCTTAGGGAATGCTGCTGTTGGACAGCAGGTGAAGAGAGTAAATACAAAGTTCTCCTTGAAATAAGCAGAAATTGTTGCTCCTCCAGAGCAGCTCTTGGCTGGCCAGAGAGCCACATTTGATGCATTTTTTGCCACAGGATGTCCATGTTGTTCCTGAGTTCCTCATGGAACAGGGATGGTCCAGTCCTGACAGGGATTGAGATCTGCTCAGTCATTTCACAGAACCAAGAAATCCCAGGATGGTTTGTGCTGCAGAGGACCTTAAGGATCATCCAGTGCCACCCCAGCCATGGCAGGGACACCTTCCACCATCCCAGGCTGTGGGATCCCAGTGCCCAGCCTGGCCCTGGGCACTGCCAGGGATCCAGGGGCAGCCCCAGCTGCTCTGGGCTCCTGTGCCAGGGCCTGCCCACCCTGCCAGGGAACAATTCCTTCCTGAACGATGCGATCTTTCTAAAACAAGCTGATAACGTTTATCTCCCTTTTCTTTATCTATTTTTCTCCCTCTGCACTCCCCAGCTGGAGGCAGTGCCTTCCCTGCAGGGCTGTCCATGCTGGAATTGCCCGAGCCCCTGCTGAAGCCCGGGATGGCCTCGAGGTGAGGGCGGCCGAGGATGACCCTGACTGAAAAGCTGCGCGAGAGGATTTCGCGGGCGTTCTACAGCCACGGGCTGCTCTGTGCTTCCTACCCCATCCCCATCATCCTCTTCACTGCTCTCTGCATCCTGGCCTGCTGGTGAGTCCTGCCCCCATTTGTGTCACACGGGGCTGGGGAGGGGCTTCTTGGCCACATTCTCTCTTCTGGGCCCACCCAGGAGCTCTTTCTTTATTTAGACTTTACAGGTTTTGTCATCTACTTTTGTGGGATAAAAGAAACAACAGAGATTAAGTGTCTTCATCTGGTTTAATAAGTAAGAACTAATTGAATAAGTGAAGTGAAGCAATAAATGAGATGAAAGTAACCTTCAAGCACCTGGTAGTGGACTCCAAAGCCATGAATTAAAAATGGAGAGAAGGAAAGCTGATCTTTCTTTGCACACCTGCCTGTCCTGTTCTCCCTTCTCACTCTTCTGTTTCATCCTTGGCACACCCATGTAGTAGGGAGTGGATTCCCCACTCTCCTTATGGACTCTCATTTGGATCCCCAGTTTGCAGGTGGAGATAATTTTACTCCCAGGAATGTCACACGAGCTCGGAATCATTTCCAGCAGGACCCTGTGGGGCTGAGCAAACCTTTGTGCCCAGCCCACGCACACCTGTGTACGGTCAGATTCTGTCTTGGAGGGTTTAATTCTTTTAAATTCTAAATTAAAAATAAACCCTTTAAATAAAGGGCTGTCTGCTTTGGGCAAAGTGAACCCCATGTGATGATTTGCTCCCCCTAGAAAAGCTGCTCACGTGTTGCCACAGACACAGGTTTTTCTTTGAGCTGTGGTGGTGACAGGGGCTGCTTGCACACCTCAGTTAAAACATTGGCAAAGGCAGGATTTTCACACATCAAAGCCCTGAGGTGGCTTCTCCTGGCTGGAAGGAACCCTGTGTGGTTGTGAGCAGCAGTTGGGGGTGTTGCTTCCTGGATTTTCACTGCTCCACATAAATCCTTGTGACTTTCAGGGACACTTTTATTCTCAGGTCTCTTGTCCTGTAGAACACAGAGCTTGTACAAGGCCAAGTGGTTCCTACATTTCTCTGATATGATTGCAAGGGCTCCAGCTTTGCCAGGTGCAGCTTTCCAGTGGCATTTCTTCACCTGAAAGCTGCACCCAGCAAAGCCAAACCAGAGTCCCACATGTGTCACCTCATTCCTGCTTGGGACTGCCTTCCCATGGGCTCAGGCTCCTCATTCCAGCTCTCCCAGGCAGCAAATGCAGTGTGATGTGTTCACCCACAGCCTTGTGTTTTGGGTGGGATCAAAACATTCTTACTCCCTTCTGAAATTCAGGATTTCCCGGAGAGGAGGAAATCTGATCAGGGTCACCAGCAGCTCTCCTCGTGCTTGGGAGCCTCGGCCCACTGGGTCAGGACTTCTGTCACTGTTCAGAGCTGAGGCTCCAGACCAGGTGTCTTTGGTAACTGTGCATTTCTGGAAGTGTCTGCATTCCTGAGTGCCAGCATTTGAGGCTTCTGCAGTGCCTGTTTCCTCTGGGTGCAGAAATCCATCCAGGACACCATCAGGTGTGAGGAGTCTTTTCTTTAGCGAGTTCCAGAAGCTCCTTAACAAAGCAGGTCCTGGCTGTGGGAGAGACAGGTGGCAAAAACATGGTGACACCCCTGGAGAGCAGGAGAATCTTGGCAAAAAGCTGGGGTGAGGCTGAAGGTCCCTGTTCAGGTTCTTTGGGGTGTTTCAGTTCCTGTTGGGAGCTGCTGTTCGTTAGCTGCTGGTAACGAGGTGTTAGCTGTGGCTTGGGAAGTGGCTTTGCTAATTGGCTCAGAACTGTTCCAGAGCAGGGTCCTGCACCTGGAGGGGGGATTGCTTCCTGGGAATGAGTGAATTTTGCCGTGTGCTGAGGGCTCAGGGATGCTCTTTGGCTTTGTTTCATGCGGGAATGGAGCTGTTGGTGCTCTTTGGAAGCACTCCTCTCTCCTGGGCGGGTTTCACTCGCAGATCCCTCTGCAAAAACAAGAGAGAAGCTGGTGGGGAGAAATCAGTGGCCAACATTGAGGCAGAAGCTCCTTCAGGAAACATTTCTGTGCAGCAGGGCTGGGCAGGGCCCCTGAGCACTGTGCACAGCTGGGCTGGGACCAGCACAGAGCAGGGAATCCTGGAATTGTTCAAATTGGAAATCCTGATCCTTGCAGATCACGGAGTGCAGCCATTCCCCAGCACTGCTGAGGCCACCACTGACCAGTTCCATGTTCCTCAGCCTGAAACATGGTTAATAAAGATATTCCAGCAAACAAGAGTGATCTCGTATCCTGAGCTCTTCAGAGGGAGGGAGGTGGATCAGTCCTGTCTCCTGTGCCTGGAATCAAGGAGAGCTTGTGGAATTCTGCTGCAGAGAAAATGATCTCAGTCCTTGTGGTTTTCCTCTCCCTCACATCAATCAAACCCCACCATTTTTGTCTGCAGACAGTTTGTGAAAGCTGAAATAAAGCACAAGGTCCACAGTGAGGGGTTCTGGCCTCAGGCAGGTGAGGGCAGTGACCATGCAGGGAATAAGGTCACCACAGAGTCTGGTCTGGTTGTTTTGGGTGTCTTCACTCTCGGAAGGGTTTGTACAGACACTGCCTTCAATGTCACCGACAGACAAGACAGCATCTCTGGGTTTGATGGTAAATTAATACCCAAAGCAGAAAACCCTGTGACTCACTCTGTAGTGCTAAAGTCTGAAAATCCAAGTTAATTTCCACATTTTCCTCATCCCACTTGAATGGATCTGTGCTGGGATCTGCATTTCTCCCCGGAGTGAGGGTGTCACCAACCCTGTGTGACACCAGCCCAGACAGGAACAGGTGACACCTGGAACTGTGGCCACTGGGGTAAATGTGAAATGCCAGTGTCACTCTGAAGAACAGCTTTTAGTTCCAGGATTGCAGGTGACCCAGGTGACTGCAGCAGGTTTAGGACACTTAAACAGGTTTAATTTAACAGGTTTGTTATTTAACTGGAGCTCCTGAAGAATGGCAGAAGTGGCTGGAACCACCCTGGGGAGGTGTGTGTGTACATATTTATTTATTTATAATTATTTCTGTGAGAATGTATCACTCCTGCACAGGTTTGTAGTATTTGTGTGGTAACCAGAGGACCTGAGTCAGACTCTTGACATTCCAGATGCCCAGAGAACATTCTCCCCTGGGATTTCACCATGACACCAGGAGCGGGCTGTGCTGCACAGGAAAGGGAAATCTCCTTTCTGGTGCAGAATTTCCTGTCAGGGGGAAGCAGGGCAAAGCCCAAAGCCACCATCATTTACTCAGAAACAGGTTGTTGATGCACTTGCCAAGGCTAAAGAGGTGCTGTTGCTGCCAGATATTGGCCTTGCCAGCCCTCTGGCAAGCCCCTGTCACCAGATTGCCTCTCTCCTCAGCAGTGGGATTGCAGGCTGCTCTGCCTTGGCTGCACACCGGCCAAAAGCCCGTCCTGCAGCGAGCCAGTGGAGCTGGGAGCTATTTTAATTCCATGGATCAGCTCCTTTCCTGTTAGCTGAGACCTGGCAGCTCCCTGCTTCCCTCCACCCTCGGCTGCTGGAGCTCTTGGTGGGTCTGGGAAGGGGGAATGTGCAGGGAGGGATTTGCCTGGAGCTCTCCTGCCCCCCTGAGCCCTCTTTAAAATACATGGTGAGCATTTCTGCCTGCACCTCCCTCATGCAGCTCCTGCTGCACTTCACCACTTCCAGCTGGTTACAGGATCTGTGTTTCCTTTATTCTGGGGTTTCAGAGGGTTTCAGGGTGCACAGTGAGCGTCTAAAAAGAGCCTTTCCCAAAAGCAGAACAAGTTGAGCTTTCCTGTCATTGTTGGATCCCAGGCTCACAGGATGGGTGGGGCTGGGAGGCTCTGGAGATCCCCCAGGGCAGGGTGAGCTGCAGCAGGTGACACAGGGATGTGTCCAGAGACTCCAGGTCCCCCTGGGCAGCTGTTCCAGCCTCTTCCTCCTGCTCAGCTGCAGCTTGCTGCCCTCTGCTCTGTGGCCATTTCAGGTCCTGCTGTTCTTCCCTCCTCTGTGCTTTCCATTCTCCTGTTCTCCTCTTTCCCTGATGCTCAAAAAAATCCCTAACAAAGAGAAACATGAGGAGAGCCCATCCCAAGTGCTGGAAATGCCTTCCCTGGAGCTGGGGCTGTTCCCTCTGGGCACCCCTGCACTGTCAGTGCCCCAGACCTGTCACAGTGCAGAGCAGCCAGAGCAGCTGGGGCTGCCCCTGGATCCCTGGCAGTGCCCAGGGCCGGGCTGGGTGGGGCTGGGAGCAGCCTGGGATGGTGGGAGGTGTCCCTGCCATGGCTGGGGATGATCCTCACAGTCCCTTCCATGCCAAAGCCCTCCAGCATTCCGTGTTTCCAACACCTGCTGGGTCCCCACGATCACACAGATCCCCACTCTGCTCTCCATGCTGGGCTGAGCACCAGGACTGGGACTGGAGACAGAATCCCACCCTGCTCTGCTCTCACACCAGAGCTGCTCATCCCCCCTGCAGCCACCCCCTTCTCTCCCCTGGGGGAGAGCTGGGCCCTCCTGGCCTGCAGAGGAGCCTGCTGCCCTGGGGATCCTGCTGGGAATGGCAGATCCACTGGGAGAGACTGGAACAGCACCAGCCCCGCCAGGCAGAGGCACCACACACCCACGGAGAGGGGGAAACACTCCAAAATCAGATTAAACCCGAACAGTCTTGAGTGTGAATTACTCAAATTCTACAAAAAACGCTTGTTGTGACTCCTCCCAGCCCACAGGTGACTCACAGGGAATACCCCTCTGCAGAAGCACCTTCCTGACTCTCCAGTGTTCTCCCTGCATTTCTGGGCACACTCACCAGCACTGAAATCATTTAGGAAATAACAGTTCCTCCTCAATCATCTGTTGAACCCACTCTGCTTTGTTTCTTTTTATCATGCTTCATTCTATTACTCCTTTTTCTCTTCCCTGCTGATGGAATAAATAATAATAAATGCTAATAATTAGATGTATTTCTGTCAGGCCAATAAAAAGCAAATCTGGCAAGCTTGGCTTCTGATTTCCTTGTTCCTTTTCAGCTGTTTGCTGTTCACTCTGAAGCCTCACGTTTAGATGCTGCTTGTTCCTCCCTGGCCTTTGATGATCCAAGCTCATCCCTAATGCAGTGGGCAGAGACTTGCAGGAAAACAATTCCAAGGCCTTTCTATTTATTGTGTAAATACTGCCACAAAATTCATCCTCAAAAAGGAAAATATATCAGGAATGGTAAGGCCACAAAAAGACTGAAGTTCTGTTCTCCAGTTCAGTTGGTGCTGACAATTCTGGATTCTCAATGGATCTCTCTGTGTCAGCAGCCTCGCTTTTCCCACCAGTTCAATTCTGATTTGCTTTTAACCACCTTTGAGAACATTTGGAGTTCAAAATCCCATTCTAAGCTCTCTGTAACCTCAGTTTCTCAATTTCTGAATAGTTCAAAGTCTCTGTTGTGGGACAGGAGCTACAATCACCAGAGATTGTGGTGGCAAAGCATCAAGAAAATCAAGATTTCGTGGTTTTGGTGTCTCACTGCTGCTCTTAAAAGTGCTTTGAGAACCAGTGGAGTTAAGTTTTGGAAATAGTTTGAGTCTAAATGAGGAAAAGCAGAGGACCATGAAGGATTTGGGGCAGGGAAGCAGCCACTGGAATATACAGAGTGTGTGGGGTTTGTGTGGGATACACAGTTCCTGAGCCGTGGCCTCACTGAGTGTTTTTGCCACAGCTAACTGGGATGGAGGAGTTCAGGAGAGGCCCTGCAAGGTCTTATTTTCTTTCTCTCCCTGGACTTTCAGTTATCCCTGTCCAAGGAGGAAAGGCTCTTGGATACCAGGGAAAGCCAAAGCCCTCCAGCTGGGTCTCCTGTCCTGCACACCTTGCCTTTGCTGAAGCGGGCCCGGTCACTTTTCTATCTCTTCTGTCTAAAAAAGTCCATTAAGCTCCAAAATGAGAGAGTTCTCTGGTTGTGTCCCCCCAGCTACCCGCTGCTGAAGCTGCCTCTGCCGGGGACGGGCCCCGTGGAGTTCAGCACCCCGCTGAAGGACTACGCTCCCCCCGGGCCGGGCGCGGGGCCGCAGCACGGGGAGCCCGGCGAGCGCCCCGACTGGGTGAGTCCTGTGGGGTCACAGCGAGGGGACACGGCCCTGCTGG